ATAGATTGCACTGTTGAACCAACTAAAACACTACATTCCCTGCTCTGTGTGATCTACAGTGTCTAGCATCTGTTTTGCCTGATCCCTGTCACCCAGAGATCACAAGCAAAGAGGGCTGTTCAGAGCCCAGTCACTGAGCATTTACCCACAGAATCCATTCCGAAGCCTCAAGGTGACAGAGTTATAGGTGCCAAATTTTGACTAAGAGACTGTTTTCAAAAGATTTGAGTTTGGCCAGGTGGCAAAGGCCTCTAATCCAAGCTATTCAGGAGATAAAGGCAGGAGGATACCAGTTCAGAGCCAGCCTGGGCAATATAGTGAGACCTTTTCTTGAACTAAAAAGCAAAATCAAAGTGATAGAAAATAAAAGAAGAGAAGAGAACAGAAGGGAGGGGAGGGGAGGAGGAGGGGAGGGGGAGGAAGGAAGAGGGATTCAGACTTTGGGATATAATCCCAGCATTCCCCTGGCAAGACAGGCAGCAGACATAATAGCCAGAAGTTCAAGGCCCAGCTAGTCTGGAGTACACCACACAGCAGCAGACAAGAAAGGTGAAAACCAACTCTTGAAGGTCATCCCCTGCCACACCCACATCATTGCATGCACACACACACATACACACACACACAAATACGTGCACACACACTGGGATTTCTTTTTTTAAAAAGGCTGGGATTTCCAGGTATAGTGGTAGGTGCTTGTAATCCTAGCAATCAAGAGGCAGAGGCAGGAGGATCTCCCCAAGTTCAATGCAAGCTTGGTCTATATAGTAAGTTCCAGGACAGCCAGGGCTACATAGCAAAACTCTATCTCAAAAAGTAAAGGGCAGGGGAGGTTTGGGATGTAGCTCTGCCTCTGCCTCCTGATTGCTAGGATTACAAGCATGTACCACTACACATGGTCATCCCAGCCTTCGTTTTAAAAGAAATTCCAGTGTATGTGCATGTGTGTGTGTGTGTGTGTGCACATGCATTCAGGTGTATGCATGCAATGATGTGTATGTAGTCAGGGGATTCTTCAGGAGTTGGTTTTCAGCTTTATTGTTTGCTGCTGTGTGGTGTACTCCAGACTAGCTGGGACTTGAACTTCTGGCTATTATCTGCTGCCTGTCTTGCCATGGGAATGCTGGGATTACAGACTCAGTGGTAGAGTACTTGCCTAGAATGTACAGGACCCTAGCAACTTCCAATACTCCCAATATATGTATTTGGCCTATAAACTTTACTAAAATATTAAAACAACCAAACTACTTGACTGCCAAAGAGAGCTTCCACTCACCAGGAGACAGCTAGCATTGCCAAACTGACTTGCCATTCTTTCAGCCCAAAACGAAATGCACTGGAATTAGCTCAAGCTGCCAGAATGAATGAATATCAGCCCTCTGCATTCACATTCTCTCCTCGCCCATTACTTTCTTCTCAAAGGCACAGGGATTCACAGAACCCATAAAGAGCAAATGCACACTGGACTAAATGTGTCCAAGCCACCGCCCTGATTAGACTTGGAACGGCCACTACACACTCACTGTGCTGCCTCCCAGCAGCTCATTTATCTGTGATCTGAAATGACACCAAATTTCCAAAGCCTGTGAAAAACATTTCCCTTGAGCAAGAAGTTAATTTATTTTCTGGGGGAAATGGATGGCTGCCTTTGCTTTCCTGACCCTCCCATAGACACCAGAAAGCAACATTAAGACCTTGAAGACCCCAGACACAGCCTTCACTATGTGAGATAGCCTAAAAGCAGCCAAGGGTGACAGAGCCACAAATTCTGAAGCACTGATAATGGTTCTAAGCTTTAAGCTAAGGAATGGCATCTTTTGAAATGCATTCCTTATTGAGAAATGACTTAAGCTGGGCATGGTAGTACACACCTATAATGCCAGCACCTGCAAGATGGAAGCACAAACTTTTAAGTTAGAGGCCAGCCTGGGCTACCTACTAAGTTGAAGACCCATCTGAATATCACAATCCTGTCTCACACACACACACACACACACACACACACACACACACACACACACACACACAAAGGAAAGAAAGAAAAGAGAAAAGAAGAAAAGAACTTTGTTTTATATGTCAGGCTTTAAGGGAGGAGTGGTAGCCAGGCATAGTGGCTCACACTTTTAATCCCAGCACCCGGAGGCAGAGGCAGGCAAATCTCTGTGAGTTCAAGGCCAGCCTGGTCTACATAGTGAGTTCCAGGCCAGCTGGGGCTACAGAGAGACCCAGTCTCAAAAAGACCAAGAGAGGAGTGTTAAGATTATATATTTGGAACAAACTGTGGAACTGTTTTTGCAGTTGAAGGTGAGAAAGCATTATTCAAAAGGCCCAGGTTAGTGGAGTTTTTTGTGCTAAGAGAGGCTTCAAGAGGAAACTTCCATTTCTTCTACCCTTTGTAACTATTTCACATTAGCTAGAATTCCACGTATTCTAAAAAAGGGGCTAGCATTCAGTGAAAGAGCAGTTTGAGACCATGTCCCCACAAAAATGATCATTTGGGAGCAAGAAGAAAAATTCATTTTCCAATCAAAGCATATTAACTTTAACCACTCCTAATCTCCCAGAAGACAAAGTTATAAGACCCATTAGAGGGATGGGAATGGATCAGTGCGAGGAGTAATCATTTTCCAGTGCTCTCAAAGCATCCCTGATTCATACAGCAATCAGCCTAAGGTGAACTGGACTCTCTCATACACCCTCCCTCTCTCTCCACCACATCCCTAGGGTGGGGTTGGGGAGAGTACCCCAAGTCTCCTCATCCTTGTTCAAGAAACACAGGTGACCCAAGGGACTCTGACACTCCATAGAGTAAGATATTAACAGAGCACTGAGAGCAGGAGTTATCACCTAACTCTTTCAGTGTCAAGTTAATACGAAATACCACATGCCAGGTACTGCCTGGAAATGTCACACGGATTATCTCCCGGCAATCCCATGAGTTATATGCTATTCCTTTGCAGATTAAGAAAGTGAGAACTGGATGGTTGATCATAAAACTGGTCTCTTGCTGAGCAGAAACTTGAAGCCTAGTGGTTTGGTTTCATACCCAGTGGTCTAGCCCACATGTGACAGCAGGGAGTGAGTGGACTTCTGTGAAACCCCTAGATACACACACCAACCCTGCCTACTGTTTCCTAATATAGAAATCCCTACCACCACCACCACCAGGAAAGTGCCCTTCTCTTTAAGAGGCAGATGGGAGTCCCACAGAATGGCTATAATAAATACTGGCTGTAAAAGAAGTCCAAAGTGCTAGGCATTCAAAGAGCCAAAGTGAAATGTCACCATTTCCTGTTGTATGACAACCTCTTAATTTCCTAAAATCCAACCAATGATGAAGAAAAATAAAAAGGTAGTTCAGATCATTTCTAAGTATCAGCCGATGAGTGTCAGGCCTGTGACCTTGGATGAGCTTTGGGGTTTCATGGCACTTTGGAAAAGGGAGGAACTGAAAATGAGAAGGTCCTGTTTTGGGGCCACAAAGCTTATTTCACCCATAAGAAGTTCCTGGACTTGCTAAGATGTGTTAAAGCACTGATCCTGAACAGAATGCTTATAATCGCAATGTCATTGGATACTTGTAATTTCCACTTATAAAAAGCTGTCACCAGCCAAGCATGGTGGCACATGCCTTTAATACCAGCATTTGGGAGGCAAAGTCAGGCGGATTTCTGTGAGTTCAAGGCCAGCCTGGTCTACATAGCGAGTTCCAGGCCAACTGGGGCTACAGGGAGACCCTGTCTCAAAAAGACCAAAAAGAAAAAAGTTGTTGCCAATGAAAATGGGAAGTGTTAACTAACTCCATGTGCCAACTTCAAATAAACCAAGAAACGCAATACTTCCCAAAGGACAGTTCTTTGAAAAGAAGGCCCGAAGGCAATTTGCAAACACCACATGCACTTGTTTTATATGAAGATTTATAGCCATGTGCAACAAAAATATAAAGCTAACAAGGAAGGAACTCACTATACAGAAGACAAAACAATACCCTTTTTATTTTTAAAACTCTGGTGAAATAGGTTTCCATATGACATCCCATTTAAAAAAAAATTGATGTAAACCAACCTGTGGGTTAGTCACACTATAGACTTCAAGAGTGTTTACAGACACCTAGAATATTTACAAATGCTTTTGTTTAGTTTTGTTGCAATTTTTCCAGCACATACTCCATGGTTAAAGAAAGGGGTGTATTGGTGTTCTGTTATAAAAATTCATAAATGGAGAAAAGGCAATTTTCCTGAGAGAAGATTTGTTCTTGAAACAGTTTTCTTAAACAATTGGGAAATCTAAATGGATGGGATGTAGGTGGAAAAGAAGCATAATGTCTAAGTTAACATTTTTTTAAATTATTTTAAGTACCATTAAGTTAAAATGTTTACATTCATTATAAAAATGCTGTTAAATCTTATGCAAATGATTTAACACTGATTGCTGCAACGCAAATTGCACTTTTTAAAAAAAATTATTGTGTACATGGAAGAAAAATATCTTGTTTGCTACCCTGTTTACAAATTCCAAGTGACTTCAGATCAGTCATGTTCCAATGAACTGAGAAAAGTCAGTCACAGTATCCGACGGATCATAAAGCAATCTTGCAAACTGACTAATATTCTTGTCAAGAGACCCCAGGAACCGATACAGCCTCCAGGATGTACCAAATGGCCTTCAAATGTTCCTCTCCATGAATGCTTGTAAAATGTGCATGTAGATCAGGTATGTAGAAATTCTGGGATAACCAAAATCAATCACAAGAAGCGCATGATTTGGGGCACTATGCATAAAACCATTTTTAAAAATGCTGTCTCAATCTTCCTTAGCAGACAAGGCCCCAGTCAAAGTCTCATAGTCTCTGTCAGCCCTGCACAGGCAGATCTCCAGAGGCAGGCTGGCTGGAGGTAGCCCAGGCTGGCGGGAGCAGGTCACATGCCTGCTGTGCTGGCCCTTCCTGGAAGATCCCATCTCCTCTGACTTCATCGAGCTTCTTGGGATATCTATCTCTTTTAAAACAAAGGCACAGAAATCACACATTGGAGGAATGTTCTGTCTGCATCGTTGCCACCGTATGGATTGCTGGACAAAATCAGTTGTGTGAGGCCCTTAGAGCCTTCCCTGCCTCCCGGCAGCACCAGCTCAGGCAAGGGCCAGAGCACACCAAGAATCCTGTCGCACAGAGGATGTGACTTCGGCAGGAGAAGACAGACTGACGCCTATGTAGAGCCCATCTTGACCGGAATACTTGAGCTCACTGTTCTCAGGGTTGGTGGCTTCTCCTGCTGCAGACATCACCGGGGCACCCGCCTACCAGAAGAGGAGGACAAAGGAGAGAGAGAGTTAGCTCAATCCTGTGAGTTCAGCACCTGGGAACAAATGACAGTAGACCCAATGAAGGCAAAAGCTGCTCCCAAAAACAAGTCAGATGGAAGAAATGAAGTCAGCCTTGCTCTTCATCACTGTTCTGAGCACTGTTGCTTAGTGCCATCAACCTGACCCTGGCAACTAGCACTCTTGGAAGCACTGCCCTGTTAACTTCAGAAATCAGTAACACCCCCACCCCTCCACTCCCCCACCCCACAATAAGATGCTGAGGCAGACAAAGGAAAGGGGACCCAGGGCTCCAGTGTATAAATGTGGCAAATCTAAGAGTTCTAACACAAAACAAACCATGCTGTACAGGTAAAACATCATATAGACCTGAATTAAATGGTGGTAACAGAGCATCTACAGGCCGCAACTATACGGAAACACGCGCGCGCACACACACACACACACACACACACACACACACACACACACATGGGGGGGCGGGGTGGAGCACTAGTTACACAACTCAACATCCCCTGATAGATGAAAGTTTTGAGCATTGACTTCATGTAAATAAATCCATGTATACAGATGTGGTTTGATTTGGTTTGGTTTGGTTTGGTTTGGTTTGGTTTTTGAGATAGGGTCTCCCTGTGTAGCCTCAGCTGGCCTGGAACTCACTATGAAGACCAGACTGGCCTTGATTGTATAGAGATCCACCTGCTTCTGCCTCCCTGGTGCTAGAATTAAAAATATGCACTATCACACTCGATTCATACAGAAGTTTTATTATCTACCTCATTTACTTTGTCTTTACAAAAACAAACCACATTTGCTGCACACCACGTCATAAAGAAAATGTCAGCATCCTTTATCTGTCATGACCATGCCTTTGTTATTTCTGGAGGCAAAAAGTTCACCTTTCCCCTGTTTCATTCATTCCTCAAATTCAAACAAGGAGGGTCAAATAGCAAACGTTATAAAAATGTAACAGGGTCATGCTGGGCATGGTGGCAGACACTTTTAATTGCAGCACTAGGGAGGCAGAGGCAGGAGAATCTCTGTGAGTTCAAAGCCAGCCTGGTCTACATAGTGAGTTCCAGGCCAGCTGGGGCTACAGGGAGACCCTGTCTCAAAAAGACAAAAAAAGACAAAAAAAAAAGAAGCAAAGAAATAAAGAAAGGAAAGGGAAAGGAACAGAACAGAATAAAAATGAATCTTAGGCTTTTCCATCTTGACCCAGTAGAATGGCTCCCACAAAGAAGGGTAGTGAGAAGGGCCGTTCTGCCATCAACCAGGCAGTGACTTGGAGATACACCATCAACATTCACTCACAAGTGCATCTATAGAGTGAGCTTCAAGAAATGCGCCTCTCAGGCACTCAAAGAAATCCAGAATTTGACATGAAGGAGATGGGTGCTCCAGATATGCGCACTGATACCAGCTTCAACAAAGCTGTCTGGACCAAAGGAACAAGGAGTGTTCTATATTGTATGTGTGTTCATTTGTCCAGAAAATGTGATGAGGATGAGGATTCACCAAACAAGCTATGTCCCCGCTACTACATTCAAACATCTATAGTCAATGAGAACTAACTGCCAAGAGTCAAATAAAGTTTTAAAAGAAAGAAGAGCAAATTTGATAGTCATTGAGATGTCCCAAATTTAAAAGGCGGAAATTTCAACCATGCTGTCAAACAACTGAATGTTACAGAATCAATTACACTTACAACTGTGGTGTTTACTTTAGACTTTAATTCTAGAACCTCTACTATAAGCAAATCCAATGTATATCCACATTTAACCCCCAAAGAAACACAAGATTGAGAGTCAATTATCATTTGTTGTAGAAAGGAACTATATCTATCACAAGAGAAGAAAGAACGAATTTCCTATTCCAGAAACAGCAAAGCTTGTATCTAGCTGCATCTGGCTTTACCACGGCAAGTGCTATTTCTGAGAAATTCAGAGTGTGCTTAGATTGCTCAGAAGCAGCCCACTCAGACAGCCAGAAGGTGCTAAGACATCAGAGAGCTCTGTGGTCCAGAGGATCATCATGAACCCGCTGAAGTTGGCACTAGGAGCTCCCAGGCTATGTGTGGGGAGCCAGGACCCATGTACACTTCCAGCAAAGCAGTTCAGCTACCTGCTGTTCATCTAAGGAAAGGCTTCAGGGCTAGGACCCAAGTCACTCTGCTTGGTGGGGATAGGGTTGGACTCAAAGTCATATTCTAGACAGGTCACCTGCAGGGTACAGTCGCCTTAGTCTCCTCTGTATACTAGTCTTTTCATTTACTTGCCTTACATATGGTCCAGGAGATTAAGGCATGATGCCTTGCTGCACTAAGCATTCTGCAAGGGAAGCTACTGCTTTGTTTTACAATGACATTTATTTATGTGTAAGGATGAGTCCGCTCACTATGGTGCACATGCGGAGGTCAGAAGGCAATTTACATGGCTCAGTTCTTTCCTTCTACCATGTTGGTCCTGGGCCTTTATCCATTTAGCCATCTCACTGTCTTTGTTAATGAGAAAAAGTTCTTTGAAAAGGGGGGAATCTGAGGAGGAGGTGGGGGTGAGGGTGGGGGCCAGTAACCAGACCGGATCAGACGAGCAGCCAGCTGACATGGAAGGACTTGGTAAAGGCCTGGAGAGAGGTCAGGTATGAGGGACAAACTAGAAAGTCTGATATCAAACTTTCTATGCCTGTTTCCTCATCTATAAAATGGAAATTTTAGAAGGTAGGAATGTCATAATATTGTTGTCATGATTAAATTAGTTAACATACCTGTAAATTCTTTAAGTACCTGACAATAGTAAAGATTATATACATAGAAGGTACTATGATTCTATTATCTATCTACCTATTAAGAAGTTTTCCCTGTTTATTCTCTTTAATCATATTTTAAATACCATCTTTGTCCAGGAACAAAAGCAGTGGGGACTCATCCAGGGTGAAAACCACAAGGCTGTGCATTTTAATGTTAGTGGAGCTCTTCACACAGAGAAATTAAAGGCATCCAGCAGCCATTGATAGGCTGCTTGATTCTTGCCTCCTTTGAAAATAAGCCACGTTTAAAATCTCTTTTAAGCTGGGCATAGTATTTGGGAGGCTGAACCAGGAAGACTGCCATGAATTTGAGGCCAGCCTGGGCTACCCAGGAAATTCCAGGCCAGCCTGAGCTACAGAGTGATATACATTTTCAAAAGTAAAAAGGAGTACAGCTCTTGCCATGCCATGTGTGGACTCTGGTCCCAAGCACCCAAATAAAAGCTGGGTGGGTATGGCAGCCACCTAGAATTCCAGCTCTAGGAAGACACACAGGGAAGACTTCAAATGTCATCCTCGGGCCTCTGCTCTCACAGAGTTTGAATTATTAGCGCCCACTTTGAAAGGCTCAAATCTCCCTATAAGTCCAGCTCCAGAAGCATCCAATGCCTCTGGCCCTTGAGGATACACACACACACACACACACACACGCACGCACGCATGCACGCACAAAATAAATCTCTTTCCACCTTTACAGGGGTTCTAGGGATGGAACCGAGATCACCAGACTTGCATGGCAAGCACCTTTACTCACCAAGCTATCTCACTGGCCCCAAGAGCATAGTGTTTAAACATGAAATACAGAGGCTGGAAAGTTGGCTCTGCAGTTAAGAATACTGGTTGCTCTTGCAGAAGATCCAGGTTCGGTTCCCAGCACCTACATGGTGGCTAACAACTATCTTTAACTCCAGTTCCAGGGGATCCGATGCCCTCTTCTGACCTCCTCAGGCATTCCATAACACGGGCACATTTACAGACAATATACTCATACATATAAAATAAAGATAATAACAAAAATTAAAAATTTTTTAAATGAAAAATAAACATGAAATACTTTGAAGTAAAAGAAAAAGTCTATGGGACGTGGATGTACCTCAATGGTAGCGTATACAGGAGGCCTTCAGTCCTATCCCCAGCACCACAGGGGGGGAAAAGAAATGTAAAGTCTGTAAAGTCTGTAGTTGAAGGCTGGTGTCAGGTGATATGCCAGTCCCTTTGTCTGTGGACCATGAGGCTAATATTCTGGTGCAGACTTTACAAAAGGCAATCAGCATTAGTGTCCAAAGGCTATCAAAAGGTTTATGCCCTGCTGAACCCAGTAATTTCATTTTGGAAATATATAAGGAAATAATCCACAAGAAAGGGAAGGCGCCACAGAGGAAGCCATCCATTACTGGGGTACTTATAATAGTGGAAACCATGGAAACAATCTAACAATATGGGAATGGTCTGGAAAAGCCAGGTACATCTGCTCCATGAACTATTATGCAATTATTAAAAATAATAAGCTCACGTAGCAAGACGGAAAAAATCCAGCCGTACAATGTTAAGTGAAAAACAGCAGGATATGAATTCTGTGTCCCATGCACAAGCTGAATATTATAAGAAATCTGAGACAGGAGAGGGGACATCTGAGATGGTGAGGCTTGTTTCTTTGAATACTGAAATGAAATGGCACAACACAATCAAAGTTGGGGAGGAACAGAAGATTCTGGGTTCCTGACATACAAGGTGTACATGCTAAAGGGTCCAAACAGTTGGGTGGAGCCTTAAAGTAGCTAAAAAAATGGAGAACGAGTGAACACACAAACAAGGGAGGAGGTTCAAAGGAGTCCCCATACACCCCTGAAACCATCTCCATGCCTCCTAGCGTAGGTTGCAGCCTGACCACCCCTAGCCAGGTAAAACAAAAACTTCACTCAAGTTAAAACACAGAACACACTGCATCCAGCCCTGGAGTAACTCCTGAACTCCTGCTTAACTTTCCTGAATAAACCTAGCTCATCTTCATCTTAAATCTGTTTCCTTCAAAGGTTTGAATCAAGAGGTGACAACTGAGAATCAGGGCCATTTGGGGGAAATACCAGAACACATTTATGATGATCCTGGAGTCAGTACATGCACACATACTCACCAACTATGGGGCACACCAATCATTTCCACACTTG